AATACAGTAAAATTGATAAATAGGTCCAAGTAGCTGTCCTGTGAAAAACAAATTAAAAACCAAAAGTTCAAGCAAAAATGTTTACCAAAAAAAGGGGAGAAAAACACACAATTACCAACATGTTTAAGGGAGAAAAATCAGAAACATTTTTTTAAATGAGAATGCTATCTAAAATCTTTATACTAATAATTTGAAAATCTCATGAAACAATTTTCTCAGAAGATATGAATTAACAAAATTGACACAAGATAAATCAGAAAAGTTGAACAAATCAGTCATTATGGGGAAAAAAACTGAAAAAGTCATCAAAGAATTTTTTCAAAGAAAGCTGGCAGACTTTGCTGGTTTTATGGGTGAGCTCTTTCCTGCACTCATGGAACAGATAATTCCCATGTTATAGTCTATTCCTGAAGCTGGAAAGCACTTCAATTTACTTTATAAAATTAGCTTTGCCTTGATTCCAAAGCTGACAAAAATAGTACAAAACTACAGACAGATATCATTTAGGAATATAGTTGGGAAAACCCCAAATAAAATATTAACAAGCGATTCTAACAAAATTTTCAAGGAATAATCTACCGTGAGCAATTAGGTATATTCTAGAAGTTCTAAGATGGCTACTACAAGGAAATTAATATTATAAATTGAAAGAAGAAAAATCATATAATTATCTCAATAGTTGTTTTAAAAATATTTGCTAAAATTTCAACCTCCATCTTGATTTTAAAACAACAACAACAACAACAATGATTAATAAACCAAGAAGACAAGTTACCAGCTAATACCCAACCTCACAGCCAGGGAAGAATCACTAGAAGTTTGGTTATCAGGAAGGGCAGGATACCCGCTCTGGCACCACTAAAACAGTAAGTTGTATGCAAAGCAACTAACAAGAAAAAGAAATATAACTATCTCCTAGGAAAAGCAAAATGATCGATCTTAGTAACCACATGAACGTCTACCAAAGAAAACCTAAAAGAAACTGTTGAGAACCTATACTAAGAATTCAGCAACTGATTAATTATTTTTTAAAAAGTACAGAAACTAACCATCATATACCAACAACAAACATGAAGTTAGAAGACGTAGTAGGAAAAGATCCCACTGAAAATTACATCAAAACTATTTTAAAAAGTAAAAGAATGTATCTGAAGAAGATGACTTCAAAATGATTTGAGTGAACTTAGAGACATTCCATGTTCCTGGGCAGGAAGAATCAGTATGGAAATTCTCTGCAAAGGAATTTTACATATGATAGGATTCCAACAAAATCTCAAGGGATTTGGGTAGGAGAGTAGGAAGAGGAAGAACCTGACAAAGTAACTTAAAGTTCATGTGATGGTGTCATCCACGCAAAGAAGAGGCAGAAGATCTTGAAAAGAATAGGAACTTGAATGTCAGATATTAAAAATATAACATTATAATTGTTGAGTCAGAGTGATTTGAAAAGGCAGATTAAAAAAAAAAAACAGATGAAATGGACAGTTTCCAAATAGGCCCAAGTCAACATATGTTTTTAGTATATGCTTAAGAGAGCAATTCAAATCATTGGGGATATAGATAGATCATTCAATAAATAGTGCTAAATTAACTGGTTAACTATTTGGGAAAAATTAAATCAGATCCATTACTCACAGTGCACACAAACATAAATTCATTTGGATGAAGAAGTAAATGAAAAAATAAAATTACAATGAACTAGGGGAAGATAGAGATGATCATTTACCTAATCTCAGAATAAGGGAAAGACTTTCAAAACATAAAAAAGGCTGAAAATATAAAAGGTGGCAGATTTGACTACAAAAAGTTTAAAACATGTACGGAAAAAAGAAAAAAAGCCTGCAAAATTAAAAAGCAAGTGAAAAACTGGAAAAACATTTACAAATTATAAGACAAAGAACAATAGCCTTAACATATAAAGAGCTCTTTCAAAACCAAAAGAGAAAAACACATTTCAGTATAAAAATGAGTAAAGGACATTAATAAGGCAATAAACACACTTTAAAAACATGCAGTCTCCTTCAGTAAATCACAGCTTTAAAAAAAGGTGGAGTGGAGTTAGGGGGGACCTCAAAGTCCCCAAATAAACACTAAATGCAATGAGTGGGCCTTGTCCAAATCCAGGTTCAAGCAAACCAACTATAAAACAATATTTGGAGATAAATGATGAAATTGAATATGAACTGGGTATTAGGTGATAATGAGGAATCCATATAAATATTGCTAGCTGTGATAATGGTACAGTAATGATGTTAATAAAATGTCCTTTTTTTTAGTGAGATGCATGATGACGAATCTAGGACAAAAGGCTGAGATATCTGTAATTTATGTCAAAATACTGCAGCCAGAAAGAAATAGATAAAGCAAACCTGGCATAATGTTCATTATCAAACATGCAAAAAAAATATATATATATATAAAAAAATAGATCCAATAAATGCCAAAGTGCAATAGAAACCAGCCATTTCGACGACTGCTGATATAAAGATAAACTGGTAGATTCTGGAGGATAGTCTGGCAACATGTGTCAAAACCTTGAAAAATGTTTAAACCTAGAAAGTTTGTGTTCAACAATTTATCACAAATAAATAAATTTTCAACAGTTGGTACAAAGATTTATAAACATGTAAGTTTATCACCATAACATTGTTTGTGACTGTGAAATACTAAAAACTACCCAAATGTTCAACCTTAAATTTTCACACAGCCAGCCATCTGATAGACTACTACCAAACAGTCATCAAAAACTGAATTCTGAAATAGATTTTTAAAAAGAAGTCTCTGCTGTATAGCACAAGGAAGTATATTCAATATCTTGTAATAACCTTTAATGAAAAAGAATATGAAAACGAATATTTGTGTGTATATGCATGACTGGGACATTGTGCTCTGCACCAAAAATTGACACATTGTAACTGACAGTACTTCAATTAAAAAAAAAAAAAACCAAACCTGAATTCTGGAATAATAATCAAAGCTATACTGGTGTATTTTATGATATAGCAGCTTTGGAAAACAGTATGGCTACTCCTCAAAAAATTAAAAATAGAATTACCCCATGATTCAGTAATTCTACTTCCAAGTATATGCCCAAAAGAATGGAAAGCAGGGACTTGAAGAGATATTTGCACCCCCATATTCACAACAGCGCTATTCACTCTAGGCAAAAAGTAGAAGCAACCCAAGTGTCCTTGGGTGGTTGACTGGATAAACAAAACACAGTCTATCCATAATACAGTGGAATATTATTCAGCATTAAAAAGGAGATTCTGCCATGAGAATAAACCTTAAGGACATTATGAGGAGTGAAATAAGCCAGACACAAAAGGGCAAATACTGTATGATTCCACTGATATGGGGCACCGGGAGTAAGCAGATTCACAGAGACAGAGAGAAGTATGGTGGGGGCTGAGAGAAGGGAGGGAATGGGAGTTGTGCTGAAGGGGCACAGACTGAGTTTGGTAAGATGAAAATGTGCTAGGATGGATGGTGGGATAGGTGCGGCAAAGGAATTTAGTGCCCCTGAGCTGTACATTTTTAAATGGTTAAGATGGTAAGCTTTATGTGTTTTTTAACACAATAAAAAATAAAGATACGTTAATACATTTTAAAGAGAAAAAGGCATGTTGCAAAATAGTCTGTTCATGTATGATCTCAATTTTGTTTCAGTGACGTCTTAAATATTAATATACTGCACGCAGGAAAGAAAGCTCAGAAGGGTATACGTCAAAATGTTAACAATAATTATCACTAGGCACTGTGCCCAGAGCAGAATTTTATTTGCTTTGTGTCTGTGTGCTTCTGTGCAACTCCCAATTTTTCTGCAATTACTTTCATAATTGAAAGCAAAAGTATGCCAACCAGACAAACAAAAAAGAAGAAAGGACACTCATGTCGGCTGCCGATCCTAACATGAGAATGCCCACAAGTTTATTTCCCAATGACATAATAAATATAACCTTCCTTGAGAATCAAATTATAAAAAGCAGGCCAGCATTTGGGAAAATAAAGACCAACTCAGAAGACAGAGCATCAGGGAGTTTTCTGCAGTACTAGAACAGAGGCAGATCCTGGTTTTAAATGATTCCCAAGTCCTGTGTGGGTTCACCAGTCTGTGCGCGACCAGCAGAAAGGAAAAGACCACGGGGGCCTCAAACACCGCTCAAGAGGCGACTCAGAAAGAACAGGCTCGCAAATCAACGCGGTGCTCTCCCTGGGACTCGACGTTCCCCACCCCCACATCTCTCTTAAGCTAAATCCACGTTCAGAAAACATTTGCTAGACAGCAGACATCAGGAGAAAAAGGAGCCTTTCTTTCCGAGGTGTTCTGCCACCACAGCTGGTTCTGCTCTGAATAGAGGCTTTATGAGGAAGGGTCCAGATACCCGAGCCACGAGCTATGCCACTGACCACAAACAGACGCTGGGAGTTAGACTGCCGTGCAGCATAGGCAGCCTGCATAATCACCATAGAGCTTCCGTCACATTCCAACATCCAGGAAATGTTGATCGCATGCCTACTAAGCACAGGGCATGATGTGTAACACCGCCACACACAGACTCGCATGCACACACCCGCACACGCACGATGCTCCTTTGTTCTGTTTGGAGGATCAGACGAGGAAAGCAATGATATAGGCTGGAGGCTTTTGACAGTTTGATTTTACATGCCACACATCTCCTGTGTCAGGAAAAGAGGGGCAGAGGCAGAGGGAAAGTATTCATCCCTGAGGAAGGACACAAAGTGTGCACATCACGGTATCCCACCACTAGAGGCCCTGGTCCAAGGGGGCTGAATTCCACAGACGGGACAGAGAGCTGCTTTCAGCCTTCCTAAAACTCCACGGACGGCAGCCCCAGGGAACAGAGTCACTGTGGCCCCTGGTCCTGGTTGAGACTGTATCACCAGGTTTATCTGCCATGTGGGAGAGAGCCACACCTTCCAATTCTCTTCCCCCCCGCCACGAAGAATCACGTTAGCCACGCATCCATCATACATACTTTTGCCCCCATTGTTCTTCAGGACATTGGAGAGGTTGACGGAGGCGGTGCCCAGCAGTTCATTTCTCAAGGTGTGGCAGCTCCAGACCTTCAGATCTAAATGACTCTGGGCCGTGACATTCCTGGAAAACAAATACTTGATTCATCACAACCAAACAGATCAGTCACTCCTGTAACTTAGAAGAAGACAGACAAACTATATGGCTGACATCTTGGAAGTGGGGAGAACCCCAAAGAAGAAGACACTCACATATACCCTTTCCCCCACAAAGCTGCCCTGTAACCATCTAGCTAATAATGAATGCTCTGTGAGCTCAACAATGTAGAAACGCCTCAAGAGAAGGTGCCTCAGGTGCCCAAGGCAGAAGGGGCAGAGGCCATGCAGGAGACCTGGATCTCCCACAACCCCCTTGCAGTGCCTTCTCTCCCCCTACCAGGTGGCTGCACTCAGAGAGAAGGGATTTCCTCTTACAAAATGATGATCTCGTTCCAGAGAAGCTCGGAGCTCCCAATTCGCTTCCCAGTCTTCTTGGTCTCACTGGGGAGTCCGTCCACTGCCACTTCCACAAACGAGTTAATTCGAGGTTGACGACTATGCACCTTGGGCTTTGCTGACACCACTGGACAGGAAAGAAAGAAAAAGTCAAGGATGAGTGAGAGGGCTCCCAGCTGCCCCCCTGTGGCAGGTGTTCTTCCTCTTTTTCGTTCTTTCTTTTTAAAAACAAATTTTGTTTTTTCCTCATTCTAAAAAAGACTTTTTTTTAATGTGAGGATATAACTACACACACACACACACACACACACACACACACACACACATAAAGCACAAGGGGAAAAAATCACTCCTAATCTAAAAACACTGGGAAAATTACCATTAAGATGTTGGTAAATTCAGACTTTCTAGACTTGCATCTTTTATGCCCCTAATTCTTTAAAATTCCTCTCCCTGGGGGGAGGGTATAGATCACTGAATGGTAGAGCACATGCTTAGCATGCATGAGGTCTTGTGTTCAATCCCCAGAACCTCAATTAAAAAATACTAATAATACATAAATAAATAAAGTATATTACAAAAAATTCCTCTCCCCCCCAAAATCCATTTTAAAAAGCTGCAACATAAGCCCAGTGTAAGGATACATAATATTTAGTCAACTATTCTTTCACTGTTGAATTGAATGCTTCCAACTTTTTACTTGGGGAAAATGACCACACATGTATACAGTATCTGCATGCATTTCTGAGTATTTTTCCCAAGGATATGAACATTTTTTTAAAGTTCTTGAAACTGCTCAATTCCTTTCCAAAAAGGGTAAACCCACGTAGACTCCTGTCAGCACTACAGAAACATATCCATTTCACCAAACACTGCATAGCACTAACTACAGTTTTTCACTCTTCAAAAATCATGTAGGTAGAAAAAAAAACAATATAAAGATAATAGCTAAGATTTAATGAGCACTTACTATAGACACTATGCTATGCACACACTATCTAACTGAATCCTCGCAATGAGGCAGGCTATAACATCCCTCCATCTCACTCAGCAGGAAACGGGCTCCAGGAAGCTAGGTCATCACCCCAGGCTACACAGCCAGGGAGCTTTGAACCAGGATGTGCACCCGGTAGCCTGACCCCACACTATGCTGTGTATCATTACCAGACTTTGCTTATTTGTTCTAATGCTTTTCTTTATTTACTGCAAGACTGAATATTTTTTCCATGGTCTTGTTAACTATCTGCCTTTCCTCTTCTGTTCATTTCCTTCCGGTGGCAGCATTTCTGATGTCTGCATGGCATCAGAAAGCCAGGGACTCAGCACCAACTAGGCAAGTACACACCCAGGGCTGCATGCTAGACAAGCTCCTCTTGTAGCTTTATCAGCCACAGTGGAAACTCCAGGTCACTAGGACAAAACACATCCAGACGGCTTCTACTGTATACCCCAAATCAGAGCACACAACTGACTTTCCTTACCCATGGTGACAAGACTGCCCGAGCCCAAACTCCCATCAAGAGTTCGCAAACCTCTCCCTCCTGGACCCTTCTGAGAGGTGACTGTGCTAAAAGGGTCCACAATTTAGCGAAAGGAAAGGGCAAAGCCACATCCAAGTGTTTTTAGCAATACCTGTCTTCCAGGCCCAAAAGAACAGTAGGGAGAAAGTCAAGGAACAACAACAAAAGTTGTGGCTAAGATACAGTAGCAACAGAGGATGGTAGTAGGAAGAAAGGTCATAGTAGTGCTGGTAAATGCAGCCCAGAGTGGAAAAATGAGAATGCTTCACACATAGACCAAGGTTAACTGAGGCCACCTGGTGGTGTGAGAGTAGCTCTGCATGCAGACCCTTAAATTGAAACAAATAAAATAAGTAATAGGAACTAGCTAGAGATTCCTATCACTTTCCAGCTAGACAGTTTCTTTGAAATCAATAAGTTCAAACCCTTTATTTAATAACTGGGCCAATTAAGATGCAGGAAGGTGAGCTAACATATCCAAAATCACGGAGTTAGTCAGAGACAGTGCTAGGCTTGGAACCAAGTCTCCTAGCTCCCAGGCCAATTCTTTAAACTCTGCCATGTTTCCTTTTTTGTCCTCTAGGTTGCTTTATAGTTTTAACTTTAAAAAAAAATTACATAATTTCAAATATTTAGAAAGGTTGCAAGAGTTATACCAAGAATTCCTATAACCCCTTCATCCAGAGTCACCAAATATTAACTTTTTACTATATTTGCTTTATAATTCTCTCTCCTCACCTTAATTTTCTCTCATACACATACACGTTTTTTCCCTAAATTTTGAGGGTAAGTCATAGATGCTGTGCCCCTTTACTTCCAAATACTTCCCAGTAGGTCTTTTCTAAGAACTAAGAGATTTTCTAACATAACCATAGCATCATTACCAACATCGGGAAATTTAACACTCTTTGATACTATTATCTAATGTATGGATCTTACTCAAAATTTGCCAGTTATCCTATTAATATCCATTAGAGCTAGAGGAAAGAAAACAATTTTTTCTAGCCCTTGACTCAATCTAAGATCACATGTTGCAGTCAGTACTTTTACTTTGAAGTTTCCAATCCACAGAAAAATTGAAAGAATAAATAATTGTGCACTCCTCACCAATTGCTATCACTTTGCCAAATTTGCCTTTTTCTCTCTGTATGCATCTTTATCAGTGCTAGCCAGAGAACTTCCACCATAATGAAACATCCCACCTCAGTGCTGTCCGATACACTGCAATGAGGTACACGTGGCTATTAAGCATTTGAAATAAGGCTAGTGAGATGGAGGATTTGGACTTTAAATCTTATTTAATTTCAATTTTAATGTGAATAGTTCTATGTGGCTATACTGGCTACCCTATTGGATAGTAGAGGATGCACAAAGATATCTATGTCTGTATTTGGACACGTATATATACCCACACACGTTTTTTGTAAACCATGTGAAACTAAGTTGTGGACGTCGTGACAGATCAGCCCTAATTCCTCTCAGAACACAACTCCTAAGAATGAGGACACTCTTCCACCTAATTACAGCACATTACACCCAAAAAAATTACAGTCACTCCCTCTATCATTTGATATCCATCCGATGTTCAAATTTCCCCAACTGTTCTGAACATATTTTTATAGCTGTTTTCTCCCTGATCCAGGATCCAAGGAAGATGAACAAATTGTTTTCAGTTGCTGTGTCCTTAATGTTTTAAAATCTAGAATGTGCTCCCTTATTTTACCATGAAAATGACTTTTAAAGACTTCTACCAGCTGTCTTATAGAATGCGCCAAATCCTGCATTCGTCTGGTTGTTTCCTCATGGTTAGATTCACACTGAACATTTTTGTCAAGCATACTAACTACACAGGTTATGCTGTATATGTACTGTACACCCTAAGCCGTCCTCCTATTGGTGATGCTAATTTTGATCCCTTGGTTAATGTGGGACCTGTCAGGTCAGTCCACTGTAAAGATACGTTTTCCCCTCAGTAATTCATAATTAATAAGCAGGGTGTATTTTGAATGTTTCTTATTCTTAAAAGACAAGCCAAAATATCTCAGGTTTATCGAGAAAGCTTATTTACTACTGATGAAATATAAATGCCAGTTTTTTATAAATGGAGTCACATCTTCATATAAGATTTAGCTTTTGAAGTCAACAAGGTAAAAATCATATATGGCCAAAATTACACCCCTGAAAAGCTCTTAGGAAGGCAACAGAGTAGTCTGACATATTATCCTTCAAGAGGTTCCAAAGAGCCAGCTTTTTGCTCTGCTTGCTGTTTTCAGTGTGTCTTGAGTTAAATGTCAGATAAAACAGTTGGCTTAACATTTGAAGGCCTTGGTGTATTTAAAAAGTCTCTTAAAACCCTAGGATTGCACTACAGAAAGGCACAGGGAAATGAGGCAGAGAGAGGGAACAGTATAGCGACAGCTCCCAAATTACACCAGGGGCTCTATCAACGAAACGCGCGGGAGGAAGAACCACTCACACTATTTAAATGGTTATTTCTCTCCTCTTTCTCTCCCACCATATTCCTAGACAGTATTATCGAATCCCTACAGGTTAAATGCATATATATAATGAGATGCACCTGAATTATCAAATAGCTCTCTCCACCCTAGTAGCAAAATACACTCTGAGGAAAGGCAACAGAGAAACCTTTAGAAGTCAGTGCACGTTCCTGAATAACATGCCCCAAAACACAGACCTCAGGATATCACCACATTCCACGGGCAGGCTTCTGTTTAGACCTCTGCCTGCTAATTATCAAATAAGGCAGTAAAGGCTGCAGTCCCAAGTTCAAAACCCTATCAGTTCACTCTAATCTTTCTCCTTCCTCAGAAGGGCTGTAGTAGCCATGAGACACCAAAAAATAATAATAATAATTAAAATAAATTAAATCATAATTTTTTAAAAAATCAATAACTCAGTAAGAAACAGGCAAAGAATACGCATGGACAATCCACAGAAAAGGAAAGACAAATTTTCCTTCAACATATAAGACACTAAACACCACTGTAATTAAAGAAATGCAAGGTAAAAGTATGCTGAGGGCACCTTTTTTTTGTTTACCAACCAGACTGGCAAAGATTAAAAAAAAAAGAAATCTGACAACATGTGTTGGTGAAGATGTGGGGACATGGGCACCCATTGATAACGTAGGTTACCTCCCAGCAGGGGCACCGAGGGGCTGGAGGAAAGAATTGTATGTGAGTGTATTACATAAATGAGTAACACTTATATTTCAAAAATAATAATTTTTAAATTTTGACAAAAGATACAATTTTGCCTCCAGATGACCATGTTGAGAGACTTGAGCCCAGGCACTGAGTGCCGCTCCCCATCCCAGGGCATCTTTTGGTCCCATGACTCCTCCACAGAGCTTCAGATGGGGAATCAGGGAAGCTCTCGCAGAAGAGGGTGACTTTAGGGTACAGACCTAGAGAAAGTAAGGAAGCAGACCAGGTAGATAACTCGGCCAGAAGAGCATTTCACTCAGCAGGAATAGGAGGTGCAAAGGCCCAGTGGTGGAAGTGTGCCCGGTACAGGCAATGAAGAGCAAGGAGGACCATGTGGACCTATGTACGGAGCCAGAGCAGAGTAAATGCGGAACAGGAATGAGGAACGGCAGGGGTCAGAGCCTGTGGGAGCTTTAGCTTGGGCGCTGAGTGAGAGGGCGAGTTCTTGATATGTTTGAGCAGAGGAGTGATAAGAGTTGGCTTACATTTAACGATATCACTGGCTGCCGTGTGATCAACAAAATGAAGGAGGGCAAAGGGCAGAAGCCAGGAGCTGCAGGAGGAGGCTATCGCCTTAATCTAGGGTAAGACAACGGAAGCTAGTGGGACGGTGCAGTGGTTAGAAGTGGCTGAATGTTGGAGACACTCTGAAGATGGACATAACCAGATTTGCTAAATGGTTGAATACAGGAGATTGTGAAAAAAAATCAGGAGTTCCAGGTGTGTCACATTTTAGATGTTTACTAAATATTCAAGTGGAGGGGACAAGTGGACTAGTGGAGTTCGGAGACAAGGCCAGGCTGGAGATCTTGGTATTGGGGGCATATAAAGTGGTATGGTTGGATGAGATCACCAAGGGAACGAGTGTAGATAGAGAAGAGCCCCAGGAAATGAAGGAATTTTTGCCAGAAGTTCCTTTCTTCTTTCTTATTCAAGGATTCCAGCTACAATAGGACAACACCCTGAGAATGAAGAGTTAGGCTCACAAGCCAAGGTGAGGTATAATTTCACCTCTTCCCCGTAGGTGAGGCTGGACCTCAAATGACAAACAGGTCACACAGTGCCACTCACCTTTCAAAATCAGCTGAGACTTCTCAAAAGGCAGGGCCACTCCTGCCCGGCTGGAGCTGGCAGATGCCATGTCATCACCAGGAAACTGAAAGACAAGCAAAGCAGTGGGTTTAGAGGGCACCTGATAAGAGACTGGGAACCCAATCCAATTTTAATATCTTTGTGTTTAAAGAGGCAAAGCAAGAAAATATAAACATCCAAGCAACCACGGCGATGCTACTTCCGGCGAGTGGTGTTTCTCTCATAATGACTACTGAACCTGGGCAGGACCTGGACAGGCTAAGAAGGACACGGCACTATTATGTTAAAATCTTGAGCGGGGACCGCCTAAAATAATAGCTCCAAAAACAAAGTCATAGTTCAACAATTTGTTTAAAAAGTCATATTAATCTAATTTCTTAAACTGGCAAAAGATCTTAATAAACATTTTTCCAGAGAAGATAAACAAATGGCCAATAAGCACATGAAATGATTCTTGATTGACATCCTTAGCCAGAAGACATTCCTGTCACTCCATCTTGGTTAGAAGCAGAAGTCTCCCTTGCACTTTGAAGGGATCTTTTGCTCATATATAATTTGTAACATCGTCGTTTGTCATTTGGAAAATATTGGTTCATTGAGTTCTGTAGACATTCCAAATGTTGACACGTTTCATTATACACTATCCAAAAAATGACACTTGTGAATGTCACCACTGATCTCAAGACTCTGAGGACTGGGAAGCTGTCAAGCTGTTTGTGGTAGCTGTAAGTGTTCCAAAATTCTAATTTTCACTTAAAAACTCCTATTTTATCATTGGCAACAGTCAGTTGTTTCCTTGAGCTCACTTCACTCATCTTCAGAAAAATGTCCGCTAAATACCCAACTCTATTAACGTTAGTTTGTTGATTTTTTTTTAAGTAAAAATGGTATTTCATGAAAAACGCAACTATCTAATTCAGCTCTCAATGCAAAGAACCATACGAGTACTTTTTCTCAAACAACCATCATACTTCAGCGTGCAGGACAAGTGCTTTCTGCACCTGTTTCAGTTTTCCATTTTCATCACCCAGAATATTAAAAAGATGTGTGCACAAGAGTAAAGACTTAATAAAATGAGTACCTTTTACTGCTTCATCAAGCACATTCTTAAGTGAAACTGGCTTTTTCTTCCCTTTTTACTGAGTGTGCGGTGGTGAGGAACACATCACTGCCCTGATGCGGGCTATGGCAGCAACAGTTTCACTCACCCTCTCTTCTGCACTACGAGTGCAAATGTGTCACAGTGGAAAAGGCAGAGTTATTATGAAAACAGTTTTGATCTTGCAAAACCCTAAAAGTCTCAAGGGGCCACCAGGGATCTGAGGGTCACGCTTGAGAACGGCTGCTGTAAAAACAGTATGAGATTCCTATTCTATTCAACACCACTCGCACCTTCTTTCATTCTGTTTGTACCTGATCTCTCCTCCTAACTCCCTGCTCGGAAGGGCTGTTACAGCCTTAAAACGTGGTTATTAACTCACCATATTACTCAAAGGATGGAAGCTCTTTGTATGAGTTAAATGTGGCTAAGTCACACTGATTTTGATATTTTCCGTAGCTCAAGTCAAAGAATTTTATGCTTTGAGATATTACCCAAAACAAAACAAGATCATCTGCCTTATTTGTAAGACATATCCAGTCCAAAAAAATTGAGTGACCCGTTTTTTATCTGGACTAGTCCATAATAGGTATTTTACTTCAAATCTTACATATGGAGTAGCAGTGAAAACCTCTAAAATATTAGGGGCAACATATATGAAATGCAGTACTGAAACTGTTCTTACCAAGATTTCTAGAGACCAGACCTCCATGCTGTTAAATCCAGTAGTGAATTCTCAATCCTTGTCTTAGATGACCTACCAGCAGCATCTGATGTGATGGCTCGCTCTTTCCTCCCTGAAATACTTTCTTCTCTTGGCTTCCGGGACACCACACCTGCCTGATTTTCTTCCTGCCTCACAGGCTGCTTTTTTTGAGCCTCCTTCATTGGCTCCTTCTCTATTGCTTAACCTCTAACCATCAGAGTGTCCCATAGCTCAAGCTTTGCATGTCTTCCCTTGTTTATCTCAACCTGCCTCAGGGATTTAAATACTATGTATCTGTTGACAGTTCCAGATTGGTGTGTCCAGTATGAACCTCACCCTTGAACCTCAGATCCTCTTTGTCTACTGACCAAACTGAGCTTTGATGCGCCCCCTCAGCCATGTCCCTCAGCTTCATGCACCTCAGTTCACAACAACTCCTTCCAACCAGTGGCCCAGGGCCAAAATGCTGGGGCTCATTCCTGCTCCCTCTTTCCCTCTCACATCCCACATCCAACCTGTCAATAAATCCTGTCAGCTCTCCCTTTAAAACAGTTTCAAGCTCAACCATTTCTCTGCACCTCTACTGTCACTGCCTTGGTCTAAAGCACCATCATCTCTTAGCTGGATTATTGTTCTTTCTGCTTCTGCCCTCTGCCTCCTTCAATCTAATGTCCATATTCAGCAAGAGTCATATTTTTTACATGTAATCAGATCGTATCACTGTGCTGTTCAAAAGCTGGACGCTATCAGCGGCTTCCCATCTACCTCAAAGTCCCTAAAATGACCTTGGAGTACCTACGTGATACACCTGAACTCATCTCCATTTCTCTTCCCACTCACTCCCTACCCCAAAGCTACAAGGACCTCCTCACTATTACTTGAACATGCCAGACATGTTCCCCTATCAGACTTCTACCTCTTGGTCTACAATGCTCTTTCAAGTGTCCACATATACAACTTAGTCCTTCACTGCCTTCAGGCATTTACTCAAATGTTGCTTTCTTAAGGAGCCTTCCCTGACCACCCTACCAACCTCATCCCTCCACACACATAGTACCCATCCTTCCCTATTTCACCTTTCCACCTTAGCACTTATCACAGACACGGTTCACATTTTATTGATTCATTTTATTTATTATCTCCCTCCTCTAGTATGTAAGCTCCCTGAGGGCCGAGATGTGTGTCCCATCTCTTAGCCCTGTAGCCTACTGTCTAGAATAGTGCCTGGCTCCTAGTAAGAACTCCATAAGTATTTATCAAACAAATGAAGAGGAGCATCAATTTTATGAAATTCAAAAGGATGACATTTTGACTTCCTTAAAGTTTTTTTGGTAAAGCAATAAAGAGATCAATTCTCTTTTACTCACTAAATTAGCAAGAGATTAGACATCTGACAGTAAGTGTTGGTGAGAAGCCTCACACACTTCTGGGGATAGTGCAAATTAGATGGCACCTGGCAACCTCTGGTAGAGTTAAAGATGCATATTTTGTACCTCCCAGGATTCCACTTCTAGGTATGTGCCAGGGGAAAGTCTTCCAACAAATGCAGAAGAAGCTATGCTCAAAGATGTTCACGGCAATGTTTATAACAGCAAAAATTTGTAAATAACCTAAATGTCCATCAATGGGTATTGAATGAATTAATTGTGAAATCTTTTAAAGTGGAATGCTATATAGTTCTTGAAATAGATGAATTCAATCTACATGTACAAACCACAAACTATAATACTAGAACAAAAAAAAAGAAACAAAAAAAGCAAGTGGTAGCCTAAGTTTAGTATAATGCCATTGGTATACACTTTAACCAACACAAAATAATTGTTTATCTACTGCCGTGGACACACATAAATGGAAGAAAAATACGAAGCATGGACAGGAAGGTACCACACCAAGCTCAGGACAGAAGTTACCTGGGGGTAGCAGCAGAGAAGGGAGCAGGGGAACTGAGTAAGCAGAGAGACCAAGGGAACTTCAACTGTATGTGCAACATTTCATTTTTTAAAGGAAAAAGTTCTGAAGCGAATATGGCAAAATGTTAGCATTCATTAAATCCAGATGGTGGCTTTTGACGACTGCTTGTTATCTTCTTCTCTGAACCACTTCATATGTCTGATCTTTTTCATAATTTAACAATAATTTTACAGAGGAAAAAAGATGATATCTTGAGTCATGAAGGAAAGATTAATGATGATAAATCAAGCCTCAGGGCTTTTAGTAACAGAGGTTAAAGCACTAAAAGCTGGGAATTCATTATTTATAGACTTTAAAAAGAATAATTTAAAAATCTTTTCATCTACTGGGACTCTTTCTCTCCTAAAGCAACTTGACTGAGGGTAGTTTTTAAACTAGCTTGTTCTCTCTGAGCTTTAGCTGTTTTCAGCCTTTGGTCTGAACTCGAGAGAATTCACGAGAATGAACCTCAAAGCCTCCACATGGCCTGTTAAATGGGAGAAAGACCAAACCTCTTGATCTATATACTTCATGGCCCCAAAACAAAATCAATCAGACAAACTCCAAAGAAGGCTCAAACAAAACCAACTGGAAGAGCAGGAGAAACAGAGTAGATAAGACCTCCATGTTTTCTTCCTCCATGTCTAACAATAACCCATGTTATTTATGTGGGGCTTTGTCTGTCTTTCCAAATCCATTAATAAGATACCACCCTGATACTATAAGACAGTAAAACCTTTCCAAACCATGTATAAAGACAAATAACCATTACTATAGAGGGGGAGTCAGATCCCACCCCAAAGTACCTACAACTTATTAACAATTTCAAAAAGTACAAAATACACATAATTGGAATACCAGAAAAGAGAACAGAAAATGAAATAATGGCCAAGAATTTCCCCAAATTAACGGCATACACCAAACCATGGATCCAAGAAGCTCAGAGAACATCAAGCAGGATAGATACAAAAAAATCAAAAAATAAATTTAAAAAGGAAGCAAGTCTTTGTGCAGTGAAATATTTAAAGTGCTGAAAGAAAAAAAAAAAACCCAACCTAGAATTTTGAATCTGATGAAGTTATCCTTCAAAGCGAAGGAGAAAAAAGATTTTCTCAAATAAAAACCGGCCCTGAGGGCAATGTTAAATGAAGGTCCACCTACTGGCCTCTTTATACAGTCGGAGACTGATACACAGGGAAAGAGCACTGCAGGGAGGGGATGCCAAATACGAAACAAACAAGAGAACCATAGAGGTGACAAGTGGTATGGAGAAAAACAAAGCAGTGAAGGAGGATAAGAATTTGGGGTG